TTCTATTAGCAGTCTCATTCCCCCGAATGAACTGAATTACAAACCTGATGGACCAGCAATGGAAAACGCAAATCCCATGGAAACTTTTTTTTTTATTTAGGATAGTCAGCTTTTCAAATACGTGAAGGAATTTTGCAGTAAAAATACTTCGCAAGATTACCACTTTGTTTGCTCGCTTCTGCTCTCCCACCTGCCCACTTTGCTATCCATTAGTCTTTAAGACAATAACTCTTAATGTACCTTAATAAACCTATAAATTTCTGTTCCTGACTGAGTGAACTGTTACTCTGTCTGCAGAGTGACAGTGGAAATATTAAACACTTTCGCTTTCTGTGTCTGTAAGTTTTAGTCCTTTTTATTTTGCACAGTGACCGTGCTTAAGCTTTATGGAACGCAATGTCACCTGACCACAAATTAGTGTGTTGACTCAGTATTGAATAGCAATTTTTCCTCGCATTGAGAACAGCAAGCTTTGTTCATGTCCGGTTTTGTTTAAAGCAGGAATACTCGTATGGTCAGCACTACATGACAGAAAGTGAATTGGATAGTTGCTGAGCTCTAATTATTCCAGATGAGCAACGTTGCCATTCCAACCTACGCCGCACTAGTACGCACAGAGAGAACCTCACAAGAGGACAGAGTTATTGTCGTTAATTGATCGGGAGCGATGTGTTAGCCAGTGTAAACAATGGGCAGTAACTCTGACCCATTAGCGCCAACACTGAGCCTTGCACCTCCAGCGGCACACTCGCTTCCTGCCTCATGCCTCTCATGCATCATTGCCTTTCATTATTTTTCCACTCCCTTGCACCGCCTGTGAACTTGTTCTGGACCGATTGCGGGCCTCTAATTAGAATCTGTAACTTCTGAAAATGGATTCCTGGGATATGGACATCACTCACTTGAATAGGATTCACTGCCCATCCCCAATTATCCCAGATGGAGGTGATGAGTTACTTTCTTGGAACCTTGAACTCCTTGGCACAGAGGTACAGCCGTGATGCCATTAGGCACGCAGTTCCAGGTTTTAAATCCAGCAACACTGATGCAACAGTGATGTATTCCAACTCAGAATGGTGAGTGGCTTGCAGGGGGATTTGTGGGTGACAGTTTTCCGTGTATGTGCTGTCATTGCCCTTCTAGATGGAAGCAAACTCTCATTTGACTGATTCTGGAAGATTTGGAATGTGTGCTCTGTGTGTAACCAGACATTCGTTTTCATTCTGATAATTTACATAAGAGAAGGAAATCTTCATTTGCTGACTGGGAATTGTGCCCAGGCCTGAGCGATGTAAGCTCTGAATCCTAACCAGCTTACACCAGTGATGCTGACAGTAACCCTTGCAACCCTTGCAACCTGACTTTTACACACTCTTGTGCCTGTTTTTCATGCCAGAACCACCTTCATCAGCAAAGTTTTTCTCTCCAAGTTGCCAACAGTTCATATTATCGCCCTGGCTTTCATTTTGAAGAAAGCAGAACTGTAGAATCTGATATTGTTCAGCAGATATACTGCAGGAAGGTACAAAACAGGCTGATGCCAACATGGGGCCTTGTTTTGAGGCACTGAGCTGGAGTGTAAAATGGAACCATTAAAGGTTTCATCCAACTTGTCTGATTCCAGACCCCATGCTAAAAAATGACCAAAAACTTCCCATTGAATTTCTTTAGCGCTTTGACTCGAAGAGACCATAGCTCAAAGTATGAAAGTACATTTCACTAGAGTGGGTGATAAAAAAGCGAAGTGGCTGTGAATAAAATGATGGAAAGTTCCAGCAGAGGAAGAGGCGACACTGAAGCAGCCACCTGATGACAAAAATGTTTCCTTTGCCAGTGAAATTCACCGCTTCACAAAGTGGGGACCATTGAAGTGAAGCAGTGATGTGATTATCTTTGCTGCTTGTGTACATTGTGAATGTTCCCTTTCCCACTCACATTACAAATCTGTGGGCAAGGTGGGTGGGGCCAGTGGCGCAACCGATAACGCATCTGACTACAAATAAGAAGATTGTAGATTCAAATCCTACATGGCTCAAGTGCTCTTTGTGGTGTTTCTATACTTCTAAATTAAGTTTTCTGATTGCCCTGAAGCAGGGACGAGGTTTGAATTCCTGATGTGCCGGAACGAGAATCCTTTCAATGTCTCAGATCGGTTATGTCCCCGAGAACTTCAGAGCCAATGCCCCAGTGGCATCGGGGAAGGGAAACTTGAAATAATTCCCTAAACTGATTATAGGCAACTTTCAATTTCCCAAACCCACTGAGCGAACCACTCTGCCTCCTGGGAATGGAACGGAAACTGAGCAGAAAACCCAGTTTCGAACTTTGTGAATCTTTTAAAACTCAGTGGGAGACGGATTCAGCGGAGAATGAAGGGTGAACTGTCTGACTGAGCAGTGGCATCAAGGGCACTTCCCCCTTCTTTGAAGGGCTAGGAAAATGATTCTGATGATCTCGAAGGCATTGACTGTTCTGAGACAATGAAAGAATTCTCGTTAGAGCTGTCCTGCTTTTGCTGTTGTCACTGTCAGGAACAATAAAACCTGGTTCCCTGACTAGAAATCAAAATGGGCTACTACAATGAAAGCACTGAATAGTAACCACTAGACCATCAGGAACGATGCCATGTACACTTGCATCTACTCTTAATGACACTGATTTTGGCTTTTTTTTTCCCATGAGAGATAAGTTTCTCTTCCAAAATGGCCGCTTCATCGAGCATGGAAAGAGGCCGTTCAGCCCATCATATCATTATCACTCACATCACCTAATTCTTGAGGATAAGTCCCTGGATGGAGAAGCAGGAATGTAGAATTCCAAACTCAAACAGATCAGCCCTCTGGCCTGTGGAGAAAATGACATTGTGCTGTTCAATTGAAAATAACTTCAGACAACAATTAGAACGCACCTTTGGATGTCAGCTACAGTAGGTGTATGAAAGTTCTGCAAGGCCCCAGAGAGAATTGAAAGTATGATCACTGGTTTACAATACCAGTGTTCTAACCACTGATTACAGCCGATAATGTTTTAATACAGACAAAAATTGATCACCTCTAGCATGATATAATTAGATTATGGGAGATGTATAAACAAGCCAAGACAAACTTAGAACTCTATTCACTAAGAGACGTTCTCACAGATTAGAAGCTGCAATGTAATAGATGACTGGATACTCTGCGTGTCATAAACCAAAGCAATGTAACAAAACAGAGACAGGGTCAAGCCGTTTACATGTGGAAGGATGGGAGAGTGATGGATAGAGTGGATATCAGGAAAACGAAGGGCAATGGTGGTTTTTGGGAGGTGACTGTAGGTCTAGTGGAACAAGGCTCAATGTTGTGCTGAAGGCCAGTTTTCACTGATTACCTTGGTACACAGATCATTCCAGATCAATCACCCACAATGAGTCCCTCAGTGTGATGCCCTCTGCGTACCTTGGTGTAGTTCAGTGCCGCGAGGGGATCCACACATTTTTAAATTAGTGAACTTTACGCAGATCAGTTTTGCAGCCTCACATTAAGACTGTACATTTTAGGACCAGAGAAAGACCACTCAGCCCATCAAGTCTGATCCACCATTCAGTGAGCTCATGTCTGATCTGTTGACACTCAGCTGCATTTTCTTGCCTTTCCCCTAAACCCTTGACATCCTGACTGATTACAAATCTGTCTATCTCAGCCTTGAATATACTTAATAGCCTGGCCTAACAGCCCTCTGCTGTGAAGAATTCCGTAGATTCACAACCCTCTGAGAAAATAAATTCTTCATCTCTACCTTAAATATGCAACCCTTATTGTTAGATTACATCATGTCATCCTAGACTGCCTCAGGTCAGAAACCAACTTTTCCACATCAAACCTCCAAAAACCTGTATGCTTCAAGAAGGAACAGGCTTAATGTTGTTGTACTGGAACTGAACAGTCGAAGGTGATGGATCGCAGCATTTCCTTCCATTTGCTTTCATCTCTGATGTGAAACTCTCACTGATTCTGACAGAGCTGCTTTCTTTGTGATTTTCAAAGTCAGGAATTTTGAGTTTCGACAGGAGCAATAAGTCCTCATTTCCTGACCCGAAATCAAACCTAGGAAACAGTAGTGAGAGCACCAAATCATAACCACTACATCACCAGGGAATGAATCAATATGCTTGCAACTTTTCTTCATGAAACAGCTTTGGACTGTTTTTTCTTTGTTCATTTCAGTTACAAAATGATAGAGTCAATGAGATTTAATCAGTGTGGACGGAGATCCTTTGGTGCATCGTGTCAATGCCTGTCATCAAATAACCATTGTTTCTAACTCCTACTTCCAGCACATGGCCCGTAGCCTTGTGGTCTGACGTTTCAAGTGTTCATCTAAATAGTTCTTCAATGTCTTGAGGTTTTCAGTGGAACACCAACAACTGCTTCAGGCAGTGATAGGAAATATTGCTGGAACACGAAATTCACCTTTTCTTCCTTAAAGACAGTTCTGAAAGCCCAAACTCTTTCTCTGAGCCATTTCCTACTTTTGCTGATGTTGCCAACAATGTGGTTTTAATTCCCTCACTGGCTGAGGTTACCACAAATGGCTCTCTTTCTCAACCTCCCTGCTCGTCTTAGGTGTGTTATCCCTCAGGTTAAACTACTACCAGCTTTATTTCCATAAAGAGAGCAGCCTCATAGTCCAGCACGAGTGTGACGACTTTACCTTTTAATAGCAGCTGAGCTTTTCCAGCAACTTTGTTTTTGCTCCTGATATATAGCATCCGCAGTTCTTTCGTTTTTATTTACCTTTTAATAAGTGGCTCTGTGTCAGAATTTGTTGTATAACATTCCTGGAGAATGCAAGTGACTTTTTATTCTACATTCAATGTATTTTGTATATCAGTTGCCTTTGTAGGAGATAAATAGAAAGATTGCTTGTATGTAATGCAAGAAGTAAATTTAAATGCTACAATGGGGGCCGCTGGGCCAGTACTCCGAACACTGGTGAACATCCCCCATCCAGGGAAGTGATGATCACTGCGCATGCTCTGTATATTCCGCCGCACGGGCAGTCTGGTGTGGGCGCAATCTTGAAAGTGGTCGTTTTCTTTTTCTCGTCTTCATAAACAGGTAACAACGCGGCGGAGCGGAGGAGACGATGGACGGTGCGATTTAATGTATAGGCTTTTGAAACACTTTGTGGATGCAGCAGAGCCTGATGAAAGAAACCATCGGTCCTTGTTTCACAATACGAGACAACACGAGGTTTCGTCTCGGCGACCAGGCCGCGAGTCCTGGCCGCCATCTTTGTAGGGGGCGAAGGGCAGCCGAGCGCATGCGCATTAATCCTCGGGCTGGAGAGAAAATGTGAAGAGATAATAGGAACTGCAGATGTTGGAGAATCTGAGATAACAAGGTGTAGAGCTGGATGAACACAGCAGGCCAAGCAGCATCAGAGGAGCCTTCCTGCTCCTCTG